TGCTGAGTTCAAGCAAAGTTTTAGACATTCGCGGTCGTCCACTAGAGAAAGTGGTCGACCTCCATAGATTGCGTTGGTTGGGACATGTTTTACGCATGTCACCAAATAGGTGGCCACGCCGAGCAATGTTCGCCGAGTCATGTAGCGATTGGAAAAGGTCAAGGGCGGTCAAGCGAAGACCTGGCATGAGGGTATGAAAACTCAGACCAGGAAACTGGGTCACATACCCCTAGTTAGGCTCCCTCGTTGGGGACCTCGGGATGATGGTCACCGGTGGTTAGAGACACTGAGTGATATGGCTGGGTGTCACAAACAGTGGTGCTCGTGCATCCACTCGTTATTCTTCTAACATCACTCTATATGAATTCTCGATCTTCCTCATGAATTGGCTTTCAATATTCCGATCTTCATTCTGCTCTTCTATGCAATCAAAACCGGCGCACGAAAGTGCATGGTAATGGTTGTAAATACTGAAACTAGGCCCTTTTATAAGATGGGGACAACTATCGATTCGCCCTATGAGGAGAAGACATGCTCAGTGTTCCAAACTTTAGAGAGTGGAACTTGTAGTTCTCTAACAAGCTTTATCCCACGATCTTTATGTGGAGCAGGGGAAGGCCATCGGAGCTCGGCGCTTTGTGACCTCCCATGGCTTTGGTCTCCTTACTAATTCCCGCCTTCTGGCGGTGTTTTTTGAATGAATGCTCAAGAGTTTGGACAATTAAATAACGCAGTATTCAGTGTTCAGTGCAGCTTGAGAAGACCGAGATTTATTCATGGTCATTCAAATGAAACCTTGGAGGATAAGACGAAGCAACTCGTAATGGCGTGCCTTATAAATGCGTAGCACCGGGTGTTCCTAAGTGATTGGCCACCGTCGAAAGCCTCAGCATGGTCGGGGTGGGTGTCTGGGATTGTGACTGGTCACCATTTCCTTACACCTCGCCAAAATGCTCCTATATGACCAAGCGTCTCAAATGGTCTCTGTTGAGGAAGTCCTACTCACTGCCTTCTCGTGGCGGTGTTTTCCCACCAAAGTGAGAGGACGAAAAGCCGACTTCTGGGGCTATAACCGGGTTGGTGAACCATAGGCAGTTCACCTAGGGGAGTTGACTAAAAACCCTGATACCAAACCAACCAAGAAGAGGCGTAAGAATCACAGGCACACCACACGCGGCAGTGGTCACCAGCTCAATTTAGCATCGAGGTGTATTGGGCACCTCGGACGTTCGACCTCGTCCAAAGGGCGTTTGATACAGTGAGCTGGACACCGGCCCCCAATGGGCTGCGGACTCTGAGTTGCGTCCTGTTGTCCTGCAGGTCTGGCTTTCTAGCCAAATGCTTTGGGTGGGGACCCCGAGGTTGTTCCCCTTCCTCGGCCAGGGCAACCGGGAAGTAACATGCCCACACAACCCATGAACACATTCTTCAAATTTCTTTCTGTTCATATGTTGTGGCATATTTGCCAGTTCTCTGTAATTGGTTACGTGCTGAATGATATAATATATAATGTGATTGAGCAACATTTTTTCGGTATTTTTTTCTATTGCATTAATAAGCCAACTTTTATGATTTTTTGTAAATTGTATCTTTTTTCTTTTTCTTAGTGCGTGTCGGCAGACCTGAGTTAAAGTCAGTCAAATTGAATTAATTTTGCCATTGGTACTTGTCTACCAACCGAAACTTGATGGATCCCGGCATGCAGCACCATTCAATTGGGACAATATTTTATCGGTCGATTTTGGTCGGAATTTTACTCATTGTATGTTGTGCGATTTTGATCACTTCTAACCACTTCTCCCCTTCATCTGTAGTGGGTTGTGACGCAGGCGAAAGACATACCGACTGCGGTTGCATTTAAATGCGGCAAACCGTCACTTTATCTGACCCCGATGGGTTGGATTCCGGACAGTGAACAGCCGTGTTTGCATCGCGAAGAAGACATCATTGCATATTGCCAGCACGTCTACAATGACACATCTCTGGTACGGGTGGCTTTTACCACGGTCATTGAAGTCGATCTACCTAACTGGTGTCATGCAAATCGCTCCGATTGTCCGCCACAGTTGGCCAATCGAACTTATCCGATTCAACCTTGGATATGTTCTGGTAGGTGGGCTTCGTTATTGCTTCCTGTTTATCATAAGTGGTATCAAAGTTTTCGATCATTGTTTGTGGGGGAATGCAGTTTTCTGCGGACGTTTTAATATTTCCCTTGCACCGTCGCCTCGCGATCGATGGCACTAATGGTAGTTGTAATAATGGTATTTGCGCCGGTAGCTAGAATTACTGTGTGCTCCCCGTGTAATAAATGTATATTATGCGGTCAATCGTGTATTTGAATTGCGAAATCAACTTTTGCTACACCCGAACATGAAAATTTCGCGTCAACCAGGTTGCAATTCGTACTGTATCACTGCATGCTGTAGAGGAATTTTGTGATGCGTTTTCGAAGACCTGGAGTGTGTGGAACCGAAAACCCAATGTATGGTAGTAAAAGGGGTGAACCGGAGGAAGCTTCACTAAGTTAGGGTAATCCATCATTCCAGAATGGCCAAGTTTTTTTATTGTCAAACTCGGTTGAAGACATTCCGATTTGAACAACCGCCTAGGACACCAAATGGCTTTCTAGTTTCATTCGTTGTATGGGTCTGAGCTACAATCTTGAAAGGCGAATCCGTGACTAGCACAGTAGCAAGTGCGATACGAGTGTGCCACGCACCTTGATGTGATGTGATGCTTTGTGCGCTTCCATGATTCTGCGAGCTACACAGAATGGCTCCTCACAGCCGGAGATCCAATTACCCCTCAAAGGTCAACGGGTAGAGGCCAGACGAAAATCAGTCTCACAAGGCCAGCTGCGTGGGCAATTCCTGGCTTCCTTCCTTTATCCATCCATCCCCACCTTGAAGAGGTCACTCCAACAAATAAACACGGTGAGGGACAGTTTAACGATCAAAAATCCCCTCTAGATGGACGTAGGAACGTGGTACCTGGGGCTTATTCTTGACGGTGGGAGAAGTCTTCATTGGACAGCTACCGTACACCCTAGGTGGGCAGCTCCCAGCCAATAAGGTGCTGTCCCGTCCACGTTCCGCTTGTCTCATTGGGTGCACGAGGCTAAGGGCGGATCCTGAAAAGCGGACCGACGATCAACGCACCAGCAAACAACACAATGAACCGAAACCTGAAGGCCTTGCGTGACAGGTCTCTAGAAGTTCCCACACGGTGCTTCGTTCACGCTCCCGCGTTAGATCTACGGCCCACTACCTTGTGGATTAGAGTTTTGAGTCGAAGGCATCTGTTAGGGTTCCCAAAGAAAATCCCTTCGTCGGTGTGGGCTACCGGGAAGTGTTTCGTGTCCTAAAGTCTTAGGCACCCAATTGGAAAACCTCTTTCTTGTCTGTCTGGTTCTTCCTCTCAGTCCTGAACAATCTCAGACGCCTGTTTACGCCACCTATCGAATATCACTCAGCATCTTACCAGTAGGTCCAAACAGTCAGAAGTTATAGGATTTTAGGAGCCAAAACTCCATATTCACTTAGCTGTGTTCAATGTCCGCACACTACCAGATTGATCAACAAGCTGCCTTGGCCGGAAACTCTCTAATTAGATGTATGCTGTGTCTCCGAAACACGCATACAAGACTCTACTTCACTTATCTCCATGCGCTCTCCTGACCCATCCTCAACCTCACACTTCACCCTTGGTGCCCAGTCGAGGTGGAGGGTGATAGTTCAGATGATGGGGACCAGTTGGACAGCCTCGAAATGTTCAGCCGATCGATCAAGACGGTGTTGCTGATGGTGAATCAGTGTGCCATCGGATTACTTAATTATCTCACTGACGCCTGATTTCATGGGGCTCGTGTTCCTAATTAGACGGAAAAGATTGTTCTCAGATATTTGTTCTGTCCCTCCTCTTGGCTCATCAGATCATTGTATTGTTCCTTGCTCTGTCAATATTACCAGTTCCAACCTATCTCCCACCTTTAGACACTCTAGCGCTACAGCTCAGTCAAATGAGACGGCTTTTGTGATGTCCTAGCTTCTTGTCCATGGAACGATTGTTTCTCTTCAAACGTTTCCAAATCTGTCGTCGACTTCAACGACCTTGTTCCTCGAAGTATGCATCTTTAAACGCTGCACTTTTCCGAACACGGCAAACCCAAATCTCCCCAAGTAAAGGTCTTCGGTGGGATTGTCAGATCGGTGTCAAACAGCAGTGGTATTCGTTTGTTATGCGCGATTCCGTCATTCCTCTTCAGCTTCACCGTAGGTGAAATATCGGAGAGCATTCTTAGTGGTCTCCAGAATTCCCAGCGCTTAATGGGCTACTGGATAAAAGTAGTACAACCGGGATTACGCTGACGACATCATCTGTCTGGTTGAACACATGAACAATACACAACGGGCACGTTGTGGAAGAAAAAACAAGTTCTGTTGCTCCCTTTCAGTTTACGATTTGCACCCCCAGAGTACCTACCAGTGATGCAAGACTGGCTGTTCTCCACCCTTGCTTTGAAGCCTTATGGAACTTTCGGTTTTTAATCATTCTTTCTCGTCCCTCTCTGGTTATTTTAGTGGTTACGTATCTGCCCTTTCCACATTCCTTTTTACGCCTTTATTGTGTCATTGAAATAGTCGAATGAATTTCTTGAGAACTGCCACGTTTGTATCATATGGCGACCATTTGCTTGCTTGCATCTCCTCTCGCGAAGATTACTTTGCAATTCTATCTTGCGCAAACGAAGTAACAAAAAAGAAAGGTGGGTCGTATTGTAAGTGCACAAGCTATTCTCGATACTGGATTCTCAAAGGATCGTCTTCTGGTAACGTTTTCTCGTCCAGGTGGGAATTCCACAGTTGGTGAAGTAGAGCAGAGTTGGAAGCATGTAGGAATTTATTTACTGTGCGTAATCATGGTTATTTATGGGAAAGATGGAGGACTGGAGAATGTATACATCAAACGATTGGTTAACTGGATTGCTGTCAACCGTCTTGATTCGTTGGCCTTTCCGGCCAATCACATGAGTTCACCTATCGTTGTTCTCATTGGTTGTCCCAGGAAAAAGCAGTTTTCAGGAAGCATGCTGACTCCCTGACAGGCTGTACGTAGACGAACATAATCGATCCTGTCCCGAGACCATGGAGGCGAATTCAATGTTCATCATGCCTGGTCTGCGTGATTCTCTGTAGATCGTTTTCAGCATTTCGCTTCTGGTTCACCATGTCCGTGGCTGTCTTTTTCCCCTTTTATTCCATCAGGTGCTCCACCATCACAGTTGACCGTGCCAGTCAATTGCTCGCTCAAGCGCATCGATGATCCGCATCATGAAAGCTATTCCTGTCACAAAGCTGAATACTGGACACACGCGGCCAAAGTGGCTTGTGAATCCAATCACACAGTCATCCTGAACAGTATGCCCATCAAACCGTGTATTCGTGTGGATGCGTACAGTACGATGCACTATCTAGGCGCGGATATCGTGTGCTGTGCTGTGCATCCGGAAAAGAGTGAGTCTGCCTATTCATCTTTTGTGATGAGCGCGAACACTGTGTAGGTGAATCAATGTTTCCATCTTTTCCTTACGTTCACCTACAATGTGATTACTCTCAACTGGTGTCACTCACCGATAAAATATACATACTCTTGGGACATAATGACGAAGTATCCTTGGCACCTGTTAAAATGGAGCATTTTCAAATGAGTGAATAATTCCGATTGATTCATTAAAAAAAAAACAGAGATCTGGCGAACAAGCTTGGNGTTTCAGTGCTCTATCTACTGGCCAATTACTTGATGTCTTCTGTGTTATTTCCCTGAGTTATATAATGTGCTGTAATTGGCCAGTAGATAAAGCACTGAAACCAGGCATGTTCGCCACATCTCTGTTTTTTCTAATGGAGCATTTTGTTTGTTGTCCCCACTCCTTTCTTGTTGTAACGTTGGATTGGACGATACGACTGAACTATCACGAGCCAGGACCAACGATATGTGCGGCAGCACTGACCCACGAACAGAACCGTACGACCCAGCAGAATGGTGCGGTACACTGGTGCGCCCGACTGCGGTATCTCAAGCAAGTCCCAATAGAACCGGAACTAAACGCCCCACGAACCAGTACAAGCCCCGAAATCCGACCAGAGAAAATACGGAAGACAGGCCCTTCAGGCGAGGTTATATATTTCATTCGACTTTAAAAGGCGAAGGTAGTGGACAGCCCATCTGTTTATATACAGTTCGGGATCGGCCACCAATGGCCTTGAAAATTGCTCAAAAGTAGTGAGTCACGGAAAAATGGACCAATGGGGAACAAGTATGGCCTATGGTGCGGTAGTTGCAGACATTCTGTCTGCATCTCAGCGATTACACGCTCTGAAGGTTGCATGCATTTAATCGGGTAGAGCGAAATAGTTGCAGTCAGCTAATCGAACCTTAGTTAGACAAGACGAACAGAGTAGTGTGTCTTATGATCTAATCAATTGCGTAATGTACGTTGAATAGTCGGATAAAAGGCAAATTCATAGCGTTGCGTAATTTTTCATCACAGTTTGACTTTTGAAAATCGACAAACTATAACGTCTTTTTCAAAAACTCACTTAGGCATGTTACTGGAAGATTTCCCTCTTTTATCGACTCACCAATAACAAGCCAGATTCGGTCCTGCTTCTGATTACATTGTGGACGTCTTGCCGGAGCAGCATCCGAGCTAAACTTGAATCTTTCCAACAGCGGTCATTAACTTGTACTATCCGTTGTTCCGGATGTATGGTTGCTATAGTTAGAGACTGTATTTTCTTTCTGTGGCCATGAAATTAGGTCCCTTCCCTCGCCCGTAACGGCGTTCTGCACCAGTTTTTTCCACCGTATTTGCATTTAAATATACGTGCGTGCTGTTTCTTGCCACTCGAGTTTCGAAGTAACGTTGGTGTTTTGTGTGATGCTACTTAACTTATCCGCGCTGTCTGTGTTTCAACTCTTACGTTTCCCCAAACAACAGTCAACGAACATGAGTTACCTAGCAGTCCGACCGGACTGAGCAATGTACTGCTTGGTTCAGCGGACACCACATTGATCATCACAAATGACGAGCGATTGTATGGGGCGTATTTAGATGGCGAGGTTGATCAGTCGGCTGAGAGTAAAGCCCACGAGAATCAACAGTACAAAGCAGCCAAGGCGGCGGAGCGCGAAGCTTACGCACAGAGGAAGAATCTACTCGAGGAGCAACTGACTGCGGCTGAGGCCACCTTGTCCTCTTCCGATTGGTTGAGCAATCCGAAACGGACCCAGGAAGCAGAAGATGCGCTGCATAAA